CGGCAGGGCCGTCGGAACCGCCCCGGCCACACCGGCTTTAGCCGCATCAATTCTTCTCATATTTTTATTACATATACTTTTACCTATAAATTATATTAATAATTTTTGCACTTCTATGTCATTCGAATGTTTCACCATACACGTGTTTTGTAGTGCACTATTAGCCTATGCATTTTCAAGCTCCTGTTAGGAATTAATTGAATTTTTTTTTTTTAATCTTTGATTTTAGCAAAATTTGCTCACCTTTGTCTTAACCTAGTCGCCCGCTAGGGGAAGTGGCTCTATAGGTTGCCAGATGCTATTTCCAGTCTTCTAGGGTTGTTGTTATTTTATTTATTTATTTATTTTTTGGCACAATATTTTTAAGGGTTTGGGCTTAGCGAAATGGTTCATTCTCTCCTTGGTAGTATGGGAGGTAGAGCTGTTGGCTCAGTATCCTTTTATGGTCATTTGTAAACATAATATTTACATTAAAATAGCATTGTAAGGGTCGGTTCAGAGTAGAAAATGTAGTAGTATAAACTGTAAACAATATCTTAGAGTAAATATAAAGTAGGTAAAATTATCCCCCCACAAGTCACAATCGGTATTTCTAATTTATTTATAAAATAATAATTTATATATTAAAAAGTGACTAAATACGTGATAAAAACCTGTTGTGCACCTGTCTTATAATATCCAAATTACGGTTGAAGCAAGCGTGTATGTGAACTACCTGAACTGTGTCGCGCGTAGACACGTCGTCGCAAAGACATCTAAAATATTTAATTTTGGAATGGTGTTTCTTTAGTAAGAAAATATACATTATAGGTCAGTAAGAGTGTACCATACTGTAGTTGTACAAGCCTGTATGCCTTCATGGTGTTAGATTTAATTGCGGTTTAGTTGTATTGTTGTTCAGGCCTACATTTTCAGACTGGAGACTGTGCTCTAAAATTGTTTTTAAAGTCATTTTCATACAATGGCATTAAACCGGAATATCTGTGTGAAGTAAACAACAGTAAAAAACAGAGCTAAAGATTTGTTGTTGTGTAATGACCATAGAGAATTCTCTATGGAAATGACATACCGTATAGTCGTAGGCACATGTTTTTGCAACTTACATTCAACAATGTAAACCTAAGTACCACTCTAAAAGTGGGCTAAGTGAAATCATTTTAATTAATTTAATAAAGTGTAATATTATTTATATAGTGACTTAAAAACGATCCATAGGTCGTAAAATGCGTTTTAAATTAAATACAGTAGGCCTATTATAACAATCGCTAAATATATAAATTCATGATTTTAATGCCTTTATAGTTCACAAAATCATTGTCTGTATATACATTCTATATTTTTTTTAAATCTAAATCATATTTAATTTAATAAAGTGTAATATTATGTATATAGTGACTTAAAACGATCAATGGGTCATACAACTTGCTTTGATTTAAATTTTAAAATTTAAATTTAAAATAAAATCTCGGTGTATTTATATAATTTAATATATTTCCTGCATTTCTAGCTTTTTCTACATTCACTCGCCACTGAGGAAGGACTAGTGTTTTCCGAAAACTCTGGTTCTATTTCTGGCTGTTTACTTACGTTTACTTTCTAGCTGTTGCTTATCAAATTTATATCGCTACCGATTGTATCGCTATCCAGCCATTGTTTCTCACAGCTTTGTTTTTTTTTTTCAGTATTGCAACAATGTTGTGGGAAACAATGGCTGGATCTCGGTAGAGATACAAAAATGGTAAGCAACAGCTAAAAAGTAAACGTAATTAAGTAAACAGCCAGAAATAGAACCAGAGCTTTCGGACTAGTCCTTCCTCAGTGGCGAGTGAATGTAGAAAAAGCTAAATAATAATAAACTGATGTGATTGTTTAATTATATTACAAAAAAGTTTGTGTACATATGAGGTAGGCCTATCTGCCATTGATTACACATTATATTTTTTTATTGTGTTACAGTATGGCGACACTCCATTTCACGAATTGTTGCAAAGTGACCATGAATACGGTACCAAGTTCACAAGAAGGACGGAACCCAAACGTGTTACATGCTCGAGCTGACCCGAGTCTATTGAACGAGGTAAATAATTTTCCTATGTAGCCTTGTTGGCGTATCGCACGTTTGTTACAGATTGCGATTGTGGCTCATATTAGAGCCATTAACATTGAGTCGGAAGTACGGTAGGCCAGGGAACAGTGAACTGTTCCCTGGGGTAGGCGTCTAGTTCCCACTTGTAAAAAGACTGTTGCAGCGCAACGTACGCAACCCAATGTAAAGAAACGCTCTTCCGGCTATTTCGTATCGAAAGTTGAAATTGTAACCGATGTATACGGTTAGGCCTACTGTACCACTCTTAACATCAGAAATCGTCTGTATTTATATATTTAAAAAAAGTTATCTAGGCGTGGCCTACGGTGCTACATAGGCTAATGCCAGTGTCCCCACTTCTCTCATTTTGGTGATTTTTCAAAACCTCCACACGACTTTGTCGTACAATTACAAGGACAGAGGTAAATTAATCTCATACATAAAATCAGCCTTCTCCCACCAATCAAATCATCTTGTAATGTATTGAAGGTTATGCCTACGCCCTATTATTAGTACAGTACAGAATACACAGGGCTACATGAAAGCTACAATTCCTTGCCTACACAGACAACTTTTCATTAAAACGTAAATGATAATGAAGGCTTGCATGAATAATATATCATGTTTAGAACGTACGCAAATGTGCTTTTCCTTGCGTTTCCGATCTTGCGTTGCGGAAAGTTGAATCAATTTAACTTTATCCAAACAACACAAAAGTTGACTAGCGTTGGTATTGTGTTAAGTTTGCGTCCTCTGTTCCCAATTGGAAGCTGCTACGCCATCACGTTGCATCGATACATTGCGCCTGCGTCGTTGTGTTGCGTCCTAGTGGGAACCAATTGTTGCCATGGTTTAGTGGCAGGATATAATTGCCCAAATAGGCTTCAATGGAGGAGAAGGTGGTTTAATTCGTAGAAATTTACAATATTCTATATACAAGTACTGGTAGGGGTTTCGCAGTGTCAGATTACCATGGTCACAGGTATATCAAATAACTTAAAATGCATTTATTCACTCAATAACAAAACGCTAAGAATTCTTATAGTAATTTTTATTAAGTGTAATAAGTAAGTTATTAAAAGACAAGCTTACATAAAATAACATTATAGTATATAGTGTATGGTATATGGTATTAGTAGACTAGGTTATTTATAGCGAACATAAAAATATGAGTTTAATAACTACTCTATTATAATAATACATAAAACAAAACCATCAATTCGAATACAATTTGTTGTTCGTATTTAACATAGGTAAATTTAACTTCTTAAAACTTACAAATTAAAAAAGTGATATGATAGAATATAAAATCGTACTACTGTATGCCACGGCCATTTAAGTAAATGATTGTAATGTATCAGTGTAACAGAAAATGTATTTATCTTCTTTATGGCCTTTATAGCCAAGTTTGTAAGTTACGCTTGTCTCATTGCGTATTCATGTTGATCATTATCTACTAATATATATGTTGGTATGTCTAAATTCAACACATAACACGTATGACTGGTTTAATGATAATTTTTCGAATTATATATGTAAAATATGTACATTTTACCTAACTTAATTTTATTACTTTATTGTATTTTCTTCTTATACAATTTAAAAATCAATCTTTGTGTTTTTAACTGTCTCATTTACTTAGTACAAACTACGAAATTAGTATGCTGTCAAATTAAAACATTTTGTACAACATGCGCATGAAACCAGAAAAACAAAAGGAAAAACAAACCATTAAACTTGAATTGATTGATTCTAAATACTAAATACACAAGCACTAAATTATACTAAATTACTAAATTATAAAACGATACTTTAGAGTATTACCGTATATTAATCAGCTTTTTTCAAAGACAAAACACATTGCTTTGCTGTTGGTCGTTCCGTTGGATTTCTAACCCAACACTTCAACATTAACTCCTGCAACGGGTGTGAAAGCTCCAATTCAGCAACGTCGGGCTTACGATCACCATTTCCAATATGCTTCTTCAATTGATGAGCATTATAATCATCAAAAGCCTCTTCACCGCTAAATATTTCGAACATGACCAGACCAAACGAATACACGTCTGCAAACATCATTCCTTTTGTGTCAAGAAAGTCACCACGTAGAACTTCGGGTGCCGAATAGCGTGGAGTGCCAACCTCTTTCACCAGATCTTCCGCCCTAGTAGAGCGAGATGTTTCAGCGTAGTTTTTCATCATGCTCAAACCAAAATCAGTGATTTTCACTGTGTGTTTGTCTACGTCGTCACCAACGTTGATTAGTACATTAGTTGGCTTCATGTCGCAGTGTGCAACATTCTCTGAATGCAGGTAAACCAAACCATCAGCAATTTCCATCGCGATGAACTTCTGGTCCTTATCGCTGAATTGGTGCTGTTCAATGTGCAGTTTGTCGTACAGACTTCCTTCCATAAACTCCATTACGATGCACAGATTTGGTGTTGTGATACATGCGCCGTAGAAAGTAATGATATTCTTGTGCTCAAGTTTACAGAAGACTCGAACTTCCTCTTCGAACTGAGACTGCTTCTTCTGACTTACACGCTGGACGCGTAACTTCTTAACGGCAACTTCTTTACCCTTCAGTTTGGCGTGGTAAACATCACCAAAACCACCATGTCCAATTATCTTTCCAATTTGAAGATCACTGAACTGGATTTCTGGACCTTCATACCACTCGAAGGGCTTTTTAACAGGAGCCAGCTGGTCGTAGTTTTTCGATAACTCAATGCGATTGATCATCTCTGTTATACGCTGTGTCAGCGAATCAAGATCACTTGCTGTGAATGGTTGGTGGAACTCTTCATTCTATATTGAGTATGGAGACAGGTTAGAATTGATCATACTCGTCTTTAATAATAATAATAATAATAATAATAATATTATTAATAATAATAATAATAATGTATTTTTATAGAGCAGCAATGAACAATACATTATTATTGTAACAGCGCTTTGCAGAAAGATGGTATACAGTATCAATCTGTATATAACTATTACATCTTTTATTATAGTAGAAAATCATCCAAATAAATGTTTTTTTTTTTAATTTTTTTTATTATATACAGTAAGTTCCAAACGTAAGCGTAATTAGATTAACAACAAAAACTACAAAAAAGAAAAAAAAACTACAAAAAAAACAACAAAAAAAAAACCTACAAAAAAAGCAGTAGCATCATCAGCAACACAGACACATAAGTAATAATAAAAATAGTAATTAGAGTATACAGTAATTAAAATACAATCGTCTCTACAGAAGTGGTTTATAGGAATCAAATGCAGTCAGGCGCATAAAATTACCACACATCATGACAGAAAAAACATAAAAATTATTTCTTTTATACGTACTGGGTTATTCATCCGGTGATCGTAAGCCTCTTGCATATAGCGGGTTTCAGTTTTCTTCGATGATACCGGCATACTACCAAAAGGTTTATTAGCTCTACCTAGTTTTCTATTCATTGCGTTGTCAGCATAAAGCTTTGGTTCTGTTTTCACAGTGCCTTGCGTCTTCTTACTATCACCACTCATGACTGTTTTGGAGTCTTTGGATATTGACATACTTCCGAGTTTCATTCCAACTCTACCACGACTACGGTTGTAGGCATTATCAACGTATGTTTTGGTATCTACTGAACTCGGGGCAGCACTTGTAGAACCTTTAGAGACCGACATGGTACCGTGTTGCATCCCAACTCTACCCAAGCTTCGGTTGTAAGAGTTGTCAACGTATGTTTTGGTATCTACTGAACTCGGGGCAGCATTTGTAGAACCTTTAGAGACCGACATGGTACCGTGTTGCATCCCAACTCTACCCAAGCTTCGGTTGTAAGAGTTGTCAACGTAGGTGCTGGTAGATGCTGAACTTGAAACACTACCGGAGCTGCTTGAACCTCTCGAGATGGGCATGCTTCCGAGTGGCATACCAGCTCTCCCCGACCTACGGTTGGAAGGATTGTCGGCGTAGGTCTTAGAGGCCCCAGAACCACTACTTCCACCACCACCACCACCACCACCACTACCACGTGAGCTTCCTCCGCCACCAGATCGTGATACCGGAGCACTGCCCATAGGCTTACCAACCCTACCTAGACTTCGGTTAGACGAATTGTTAGCATACGTTGTTCCGCGAGGCATTTTGATCACAGAAGTTTGATTAAACCTTGTCACAAAAGAATCTGCCTACCTGAAATTATAAACATATAAACATAAATTCACAATTGTTAAAGGCAACAAACACACATAAAAATAATAAGCTTAAATACAGACAATGATAAAGTACCGTACAGAATAATATTAACATTTAAAAATGCAGTCAACACTCATTTATAAATTTGAATGCAAAGACAACATAGACCATGCGCATAAAGTAGTTTGTCCAAGAACAAGAACAATAAGACAACCATCAGTTTCAAACTAATGACAGCTATTTTAAATGATACACCTATACATTTGCTAATAAATACACTAATTAAAACAATAAATACTTTACTAGCACTGATTATGCTTTCAAATAAGCAAAGAAAACATGTTTGTGGTAAATAAAATACAATGTGTGTTGGAGCTTAGTTTGAGCAACTTTAGCATCATTGATGACTTTACGATAAACACTCCAGGCCCGTACGCGGGGAGGTGGGGGATGTGGATGGGGTTTACGATAAACACTCCAGGCCCGTATGCGGGAGGGAGAGGGATTTTCCAATGCCTCGAATTTGTCGTGCAAGCAAGGACTTTCAATTGTATTTATAAGCTTTTTGAGGAGTGTTTTCCCGCCGCTTGCTCGCACCCAGGGACGTAGCCACGATTTTGAAAAAAAAAAAAGGGGGGGGGGGGGGAGCCGTTATGCGAGGTACGTAGGACCCGGGGGTCCAGGGGCGAAGCCCCTTGGCAAGTAGCGCGCTCTGAAGGTTTTTAGGACTGTTTTGAAATGATAAAATGAAAATTGCAACAAACGCATTATAAATAATATTAGTAAGCCTAACAATCATTATATAAAACTCAACAGTGGTGGATCCAGGAATTCAATTGAAAAGTGACCCAGGGAGGGACTTTTACAGATTGAGGAACCACCCAACTCAGCCCCACCTGGTTGGGACTGAGATAAGAAAATTTATGATTAGGGCAGCTTTAAATGGCCGGAAATTACACTCTCAGACTTAAATTTAGATAGGGGACCTATTTTTTTCTTCTTTTTTTTCATTAGAAACATTTAGGGGAACGGTGGCCTTGAATCAACCACTCTGCTCAAAACATTATTTATCCATAATCACAAAAATGGGCATGTAATACCAGATCACATCTTAAAAACAAACTTATGCATTCTCGTCTCATCAGCTGTGACATACTCTGACGGAGTTTAATGTTAAACCCAGAAAAGACGCAATCTGTTTTGAAAGGTGGAGGGGGAGGGGTGACATTTCGTGAGTTGACACCCACCCCAGACGCACCTGAGGTGCGAAAATTTGAGGGAATAGTACCTCTAGATGGCCAGAAAATTACATTTTTAGTAAAATTCATCATCATCACATCACCAATATATATACTCAAAATGAAGCGCCAACAAATTTCTCATGATCTTTTATTAGGTACAGTATTTTCGGCAACCATAAAGGTCTTATTAATGTGTGTGATACCATACAAAACAAAGCTTTAAAACATTGTCTTTGAGTATGTACTTCACATAATTCAAAGCCGAGATTTCAAAACCCAACTATGGTGGGGCTGAGGTGAGAAAATTTTAGGAAATTGTACCTCTAGATGGCCGGAAATGAACTTTTATGTTTTACAGACCAGAACTTTTATGTTTTAAAGTTATAAAGAAAATGGAGAAACAACAAAACATATAGTAATTTATAATCAAATTTAAGCCTGAGAGCTACCATTTCCGGCCATGTATAGGTAGCATAATCATATTTTCCCCCCTTAACCTCAAACATGGTTGGACCGCGGCCGGCTAAGGTGGGTGGACCTGGACCTCATTGGACACCCCTCTCTATTTCGAATTCCTGAATCCGCCACGGCCCCCATTATTATGTCAAATTCCCTCCCTGGCCTAGTAGAGTGGTGGACGTATTCGCTTCAAAACAACAACAAATGGATTTTTTGCTTCCTACCTTGTTCGGAATCACAGATCTGTAAGGCTTATTTTATGAATTTATATATTTTTAAAGTCTACCTATCTCATTCACGAAGTAAAGCACTCGTAATTATTTGTTCATATTCGCAATTTCCAAATTTTAATTTTAGAGTGGCAATTCCGGCTTCCTGTGGGTGTCATAATTTAAAATTTCCTACCTCAGCCCCAACCATCGTGGGGCTCATATATTATCGACCTTCCATCTCTGAAGGTCCCTCCCTGACCCCTTATATTAAAACCTCATAATACTTACAACGCCTGAGCGCGAGGGGGTTCTGCCTACTCGACCTCAAAAGGCTATGTCCTTAGCCCCCACCCCCAACCCATTTTGGTCCACTTTCCATAAATTCGCACCCACCCAATAAAAATCCTGCTTCCGAGCCTGCACTCCGGTATTTGAGACAAGTTATCAGGAATTTTGAAATCCAGGATTTGAAAATCTGATTCCCAATTTCAATTCTCTTCAATTCAATTAAAAAAAATGTATTATCCCATTGGGATATTATGGGTCATTTAAAAATAAAATATCAGAACAAAATTATTTACCGTAGGCCTATATACAAAAATACAGTACTCCTCATTTAAAATCAATAGAAACTAAAAACATTTTGAAGAAAATTAAGAAAGAGCTGATATTACAGCGAAACATTTAAGTCCAAAACTGTGAGAACTATTGATTTCCAATATTATATTTTCCACCCCCCCCCCCCTCTTTCTTTTTTGTTCTAAATTTGTCAAATAATAACAGAATTATTTTTATGTAAAACTAAAACATTGGCTGACATGATATATTTCTGTTGTTAAAACCAATATTTATTGTAATAACTATAGATACACATTGCTCAAATGACATTTTTGTGCACAGTGGTAGCCTGTGTGTGCGCGCTGAACCATAGAGATCATTGGTGTTCTATATTACAGAACCAGACCAAAATGATCGGTCCAGCGCTCTGCTGCTCCCATTGTGTTTTAAAAAGAGCATTCACTGTCTTTCAGAAGAGAGGTTTAAGGTATTTCAGTCAGTTGTATGAGAG